TTCCTCAATGATAGTCAAGTAGATGAATTTGAGGGCTGTTAGAAATAATATAAATTGTTCTCTACTGGGTTATAGTCTGACACATCTGCTAAAAGTCTAATACCCCTTGACAAAAGTTTCATGACACGGAAGACTATTATTGTCTTTTTTTCTAAAATATAACAAGTTAAATAGTTAAAGTTATGAATCAAACCAAATTAACTGCACATAGCCATAAGCAACTAAGTGCATGACCAAATGACAGATGGGAAATTCTTTTGGGTTCACTGGTGATCTACCTAATGGGGAGATAAACTTCTGATGACATACAAAGTCCAGTGTCTCATCAATCCTTAGCCATGGATTTCATCACTCTTCAGCTTCATGACAAAGAGGAGTAACTGCTCAATTGTCCAAGTATAAGGATATGTTCTTGTTTTCCGCTTCAGCAAACCTGTAAGCCTTAGGGGGAAAAAAAGTTTCGACATACACTTCAAAAGTAAATTGGGAGCAAGCATCTGGCCTAGCAGTAAAGCCGCCCGTGAGGACATCTGCATCCTATATTGGAGTGCTGGGGATCAAGCTCCTAGTTTCAGATTCCTGCTAATGATCACCCAGGGAGGCAACAGTCGATGACTCAAGTAGTTGAGTCTCTGCCACCCACATGGGAGAACTGGATTGAGTTCCAGGCTCCTGGCTGCAGTCTGGCCCAGTCCTGGCCATTGAGGCCATTTGGGGAGTACACTAGTGGACGAGAGCTCCTTTATTGCAACTGTCTCTCAAATAAATAAATAAATAATAAATTTTGGAAAGTAAATTGTAAAAGACATACTTTGTACAATAATGTGTACATGATCTGCAATCATAACCATTTTAGGAAATATTGTAATTAAATCATATTTAATAGTTTCCTTTAGGAGAAAATAATTCAGTGAATATTTGAATAAAACTTGCTACCTAGTCATGACATTGGTATCTGTAAATCTATCTGTACATAAAATTTTCACATTAAATAAATCTGTCATTGAATTGAATCCAATTCAATTGGATTGAATCCAATCCAAAATATCAACTATTTCTGTTCATGTTACAAAGGAGAAAACTGAGACAACAGGAATTTAGATAACTTCTCAGTGTCACAGTCTTAGTAAATGGTTGAACCAGGGAGACTAGCAAAGAGACAGAGAAATGGTTGAGATTTGAGGAAACTTCTGACCTGCAAGTGAGTGAGTTGGGAAAAAAAAGAGTGTGAAACAAAGTGAAGAATAAAAGGGTACCATCACGCAAAGATGTACAAGTCATAGTATGTTGCAAAAACATATTTCTCATTACTTATCACTGCATATCATTTTGGCAAGTACAGCAAAGGAAGAGTAAACAAACATAAGACAGTGTAGCAAATTCTGGCTTGAAGAAAATGCAAACTTCAAGAAGAGATATTTGGGTTTTACATAGGCCTGTGATGGATGGAGCAAGAAGCAAAGTCATTTAGGTGTGGAGGCAATGCAAGAATATAGTTGAGTGAGTCCGTGGTCTATGCTTGAATGTAGAGAAACAAGTATTTCTAGCACCCATGAGGAGGGCTGGCCAGAGAGTTATTAGATTGATAGATATGTAGAGTCACTATTCTGGATTTGAACTTTATTTTTTAGACAACAGAGAGTAAATTTAAATAGTGTTAGAATTAAAACCTGGCCGGCACCGCGGCTCACTAGGCTAATCCTCCACCTGCGGCACTGGCACCCCGGAATCTAGTCCCGGTTGGGGCGCCAGATTCTGTCCCGGTTGCTCCTCTTCCAGGCCAGCTCTCTGCTGTGGCCCGGGAGTGCAGTGGAGGATGGCCCAGGTCCTTAGGCCCTGCACCCACATGGGAGACCTGGAGGAAGCACCTGGCTCCTGGCTTCAGATCGACACAGCGCACTGGCTTCAATGTGCCAGCCATAGTGGCCACTTGGGGGGTGAACCAACGGAAGGAAGACCTTTCTCGCTGTCTCTCTCTCTCACTGTCTAACTCTGCCTGTCAAAAAATAAATAAATAAATAAAATAAAAATAAAAAAAGAATTCAAACTAGACCAGCAGAGTAGAGGATAGAATGGGTAAGAGAGAGCTAGAATCAGTGTCTACTCAGTAAGTTATTGCAAAAGGAAAGGCAAATAGGAATGCCCTTGTTGTCATAATTACTATTACTTGAGGCTCTAAATAATTAAAAAGAAATAATTAAATCATAAAGTATGGATGTAAAAGGCAATAGACCACTAAGAGTGTCAAATGCAAGCTCCCACATTCAGTTCTTTAAAATGGTTTTGAGTCCCCAACAGAAAGAATCTATGGAGAGAGCCAAGCCTGCCCATAAGAAATGTTTAAATATTTACTCTGTGTCCTTGGATTACTATAGGGATTAGAGTAAGTGAGCCTATTGTACAAAAGATGTTCTGAGGATCAGGTGAAACAAGAGACATGACAGCTCTTGCAATAAACACATTATGTCAATACCAGCCATCAATAGTCTTTTTAATCTCTGTAGAAAGCTTTTGGTTTTTCACCAGACTATTGAAAAAAAGGGACTATCCCAAGTTGTCTTAGCCTTTGAAATATTAAAACATTAGAACATTAGATGGGATTTCTTTTTTTTTTTTTTATAAGAGTTTTCAATATCATTTGTGTGTGTGTGTGTGCATGAGAGAAAGAAAGGGAAAAGCCCGAGAAGAAGCTGGTAAAACCTAGCCTGGTTTGTCAGGGAAGAGTAGTACAAGACGTGAGGACAACTCTCGCTTCCCACCTCTAAGGCATTTTCAAATCCTTTCCTTGGCCCTGGAGAGCTAAATTTTCATAAAATGAAAATGTGTAATTATGCTGACACAAAAAATGTGTAGTTATGATTTTCCAAGTGGTGTGTTGACCACTTGATGTAGGAATTAGATGTTTTCTTAAAACTCTTATAATATTTTTATTTTAGGGGAGCTGGCATGATCTATTGAAAACCTTCCATGGCCTTCAGGGATGCACACATTCATATGTGAAGGTCAATTCTGCCCCTTCCTGGCTGTGGAGCTGTAGGTGACCTACTGAGTTCCCTTCGGCTGAGCTCCTTCTTTGTAGACTGGCAGTAATGAACACCTCTCTTAGGACAAGCATTGGGGAAAGTGAAATAGCACAGCTAGTAAGTTTAGCACACAGTGGCTGCTAAATGAACATGAGCTGTAAGGTTTCAGTCTTAAGGTTCTGTATGTCCTCTCTACCATGATTCTTGGAGCATAGCAAGGGTTCAATAAATATTTGTTGTAAGAAAGAAAGGAAGGTTGGCAGGTATAGGCTGTGGTCTCTTTCTTTCTATCCGTAGTAGCACCCTTCTCAAATGTGCTTGGGAGGGGTAATAGTTCTTAATGAGCTGAAAAGAGAACTAGATGATTAAGTGATTAAGTTGTCTATCATCCTTTTTGCCCTATTTATCATTTGTAAATACAACGCGATATTATTTATTCAGGTAAATAAAGCCACAGTGTTTCAACTGACACTCCTGGAGCCGAGGCTGCTTTCTGGATCTTTCTTCGTCTGGGCTTGCCCAGACTGTTGCAGTGTTTCATCACGCAACACGTTAGCAACTACCAAACTTCAGTGAGGTGGTCAGGACTTCTCTCACTGAATTATCTAACTAGCGCTACTTCTGCCATCCCCATTGCCAAGTGTTCCTCTTTCGCCAAAGTTTGTTTTCTCCCCTTTACATTCCTGCAAAAACAGCTTACAAATTACTCCCTGAAAAGATTCACAAGACTTGTCCTATCTTATGCCGCCATCTGCTGGGCATGTCATGTTGCTTAGTCATAGGCAAAAGTTTATTAATCAGCTTCTTAAATGGTCAGGGTTTAGATGGCCGTGGAAATTTATCTGGGCAAAATTTTTTTGTGTTTTTATGATAGGAGGCAGAAAAGGCAACAATAGTCGGACTCATTTCTGAAATGATGCTTTGCCTGGTAAAGGATGTGCTGATTCCCTCTATCTGCCATCTAGCCGATACTGATTGTTGTCTTCTCTGTCCCAGAAACTGTGTAGAGCCCACCAAGATGAGCAAGGAATGATGCTTGTCTAATAGGAGCTTATGAGCTATTAGCAGAATCACAATTAAAGGAAATAAATGAAGCATAGTGTTCTCCATGTCACAGGGGACATAAGTAAGGAGAGTGCAAGTGTGGCAATTTCTACAAAAATTAGATTGATTGCAAAAGCAGTGGTGGAGCATGACCTTGCAAATGAACAGATACTCACCAGGAGAGTAAAGCAGGAGAGAAGATTCTAGCCAGAGGCAACTACATGAACAAAGACATTTGCTTCTGAAGAGAAACAAACGTGTTTGCTTCCAGTGGCAGAAAAAGGTGTTCGTCTACTGTGCCTTGTAATTTTTTGAATTTGTATTCTTTAAATGCTTATTTATTATTTTGATTTATTTGAAAGGCACAGAGATAGAGAGCTATACAGATGATAGATATGAGGCAGAGAGAGAGAGAGAGAGAGAGAGAGTGAGAGAGAGAGAGAGAAGATAGAGGGGAGGAGAGAAACACTAGAAACAAAATGATGGACAGAGATTTTTTCATCACTGTTGTTCGTATAGTCTGTGGGGAGGGGCAGGCTGGGCCAACCTGAAGCCAGCAACTCAAAATTCCACCTGGGTTTCCCAGGTGGGTGGCAGGGATGGGAACAAAGTGCTTAGATCATCACTGCTGCTCCTTGCGGTGTGTATTAGCAGGGAGCTGGAACCGGAAGAGGAGCCCCAACTTGACCCAGGCACTATTGTCATACAGGATGTAAAGCTTGCGAACAACGTCTTTGCTGCTACGCCAGATGTCTTCATCTGTGTTTTCAATGTTAATTTTTGAATAAATATCGAATGATAATCTTGTTTTAATGCTATAAAAGGTTAAAGTGAAGTGTACAAGAAAGTCCACTCTGTCTAGGTAGACACTATACTATGTATTTTTGTCACGTGTACTACTAACGCTGAGTGAATGCTGATTGTATTTCTCAGATTACCACCTCTGTCCTAACAAAGATTTCCTATTACTGGAGCCCTGACAACTGGATACCTGCAGTTCTCACTCTGACAGGAGCTCTTTTCTTGACGTGTCTCTATGCTGTTGCATGGTGCCTCTTCAAAGAGTAAGGTTTTAACCACTGCTTCCATTTGAATGTGTTACAGCTCATAAAGTCCATGAAGGAGGACTTTGGGGAGTATCATTATGTTCTTAGAGCTATATATATATGAAATGCATGAAATCTGTTTCCTTTATATAAATTTAAAAAATAAGAAAAAAGACCAGGATGAAAGTGCAGAGAAAAGACTGGGGAAACACAGCTATTCCTACTAGAGCTTTGTAGAAACCCTGTGGCTAATCACAACAAAGTTGACAGACAGGTACCAGCCTCACCATTCCAGACTGAGACTCAGGATGTTAACCAGAATCTTCTAGCACCAGGCAAATGCTCTTCCCATAATGATCAATCAAATGGTTCAAGCTAAAATAACAGTTATCTGGGCCCTAAACACAAGCAGGAGAAGTGGGATTTCAAATTTTCCTGCAGCAAAGAGGAAATGATGAAACTTAGTTCATACCTCCACAAACAAGATCAGAACCTGTGGCAATATTTTCCTATCAAAAGATAAACAGAAGGTCCCAAAAATGTGAGATAAAAGGAATTTACAGATTCCAAAAGCAATAAAATGATCAGTGTTTAGGAGACAGAAATACTAATGACCCTGGTTTGATCATTACATTTTTATATACATGTATCAAGTCATTACACTGTACCCTGTAAGTGTGCATAGTTATTGTATGCCAATTAAAAATTAAAAACACTAAGAAGTTTAAAAATAAAATGTCAGCAATTATTATTATTTTTATATCCTCCTTTAGGAGGATTAACTTCTCTCAGGAATTTTCTCCTAAGTTCTTCCTGCTCAAGTGTTGAGCCTGGTGAGCAGAATACGGAGATAAGAATAAACAGTACTTTCCTCTAAGAGACATAGCTTTAAGAAAAGAAATGGCTGTAATACATTATAAGGAGAATGATAAGAAGGGCAATTGAAATTTAGAAGTATTTCTACAGTCTACTAAACTCTTGGACAGAGAGCCGGGCAGGGAAAGCTTAACTGACAAAGTGGCATTGGAGCTGACATTTGAAGAACACATGGGAGAAAACATAAAGACATAAAATATAATTTACTTACATTTAAGGATGGATATATTTCCTGTAAGACACATAAAAATGGGACAAAGGATCTTATGAACTCTATTGTAGTTACTCCTCATCGTGGGTTAGCTCTTCTCTTGCAATAGGGAATTTAGATTTGACAGGTAAAAGAATAAAATTCAAAGGAAGCCAGAGTATTAGCATGAAAATAAAAACTTACCAAAGACAACTGAGAACCTGTGACCTTTCCATTTCTTATGAAATGGACGTAGTTTAGCACAATATTTTGGATTTCTAATAGTGCCATCGAGTGCCTGAAAAAATAATCTATTAATTTTTTTCAAAAAAGATATTGAAGTACCAGGTAGAGTAAGAGGATGGAATAAGTTCGTTTAAAAGTCTGTGTTGCAGGCAAGCTCTTCCCTATGATGAATTCTTTATGAGAAACCTTGTTTATCATGAAAGGGGACTTGTGGGTGTGCTGTCACCAGGAGTGTGACAGGATGTCAGTGCCGCAGCAAAGTATCTGTTCAGTTAGAAACATCTTCTCTGATAATCCAGCATCATCTATCGTAGTCACAGCTTGTTTCTGACTATAAAGTCATCAGAGTAATCTCAAATGTGTGACATCTGAGGAGCTGAGATTTTCTTATGGAGATTTTGTTGGAAGCATTTAAGGATATTATGATCACTTTCATATTCAAAAGAAGTACTCATCAATTGGTGTTTTATTTATTTATTTATTTATTTAACATGAGACGTGTACCTGGGAAGCTTAATGCTATATATCATGAAGATGAGAGCAGAAAATAGATTTTGATCATTTTGACAATGTTGATGAAAAAGTAAGCCATTAGTTTCTGTCTTTGAAAATTCCTCCCACTTTATCTATAGTGTCCCGGCCTGTTGGAGATTATTTCCCCACTGTCACAAACATCAGCAGAAGCACCCAAGCATCACTGCTGGGGAGTCTGGACAAGTCACCAGGTAAAAGCAGGCTTACCCCTGTAAACAAAGATACTTTGGGCTTTATACATTCGAGTTCTCAATGCTTCACTGCATTTCAAATTTAGAGACATGAAATGTGGATAATCATTTTGGAAGGTTAAATGTCATCCCTAAATTCTTTATCAAAGGAATTTTTTTTTTCAGGTAGACTTACCTTTATCCAACAATACTTGTGTACTGCCTAATACTCTTCTAGGCATGGCAACATAGCAAAGAGTAAAGTTGGATTTGCAAATAAGATGATGACCTAGTACTGGTATTCTGCTGACAACTGCACAGCACGATTATTATTTTCAAATCAAGTAGTTTATCTAATGATGAGGGGGCACAAATGTCCCAACAATCTAAGATGAAACAGGAACTTGATGTAGAGCAGCATCAAGATGCACTATCTTTATTAAGGAGAGACTAAGTAAACTATTAAGGATAAAGACTTCTGAGTCTGAACTTAAGAACATAAATGATTATAATTTAATGTGTACGAGAGGCCATTAAGAGTCACTTTAAGGACCTTTGGTTTGCTTATGTCTTTATTTATAAAAGTAAACATTGCATCGCTTATTACATCTGCAAGAAAGCACTGAAATATACCTAAAATATTTCTAGTATCTCCTAATGCTTTTTGTAGACATGGAAATTTATCGAGTGGTGACTCCAATCCAAACATGAAGCCAAGTCTGCTTCCTGGCAATCATCAGGTATGGGTAAAGAGACAAGTCACACCGTTGACACTGAAATAGTTACTCTTTCAACTTTCATAGCATCTGGGTAATAAAAAGTACCCACCAATAAGTTATAGCATGTGGTAACTCAGAAATGGGGTCATTAATGCTCACCAGTTCAGAGTGGAAACTGAGGGAGAAACAGCTAACCTTCAATTGTCCAAAGTCATATTTGGTGATATCAGTGATGAAGGAAATAACATTGATATGTCTGTAGATGTCTAAATTCATAATGTGTATCACTGAGGTAGTAGTCAAATTCTGATTACTCTTCCTTATTCTCTTTTGAAGCCTGAAAAAAAGAATTGATGCAATTAAATTACATGGAAAATCTAGTGGGGACCAGGCCAAGGATAACTACAATGCCCGTTGTCCTGGATCACCGAACTGTTCAACAAATATTTAATACATACCAATTGTCTTATAGGAGTTCTTCCATTGAGACACTCATTTAGCATATGTTTTCTTTTAAACTGGAGTTAAAATGTTAACTCCAAACCACAGTGTTTTGCCAAGTTCCAGAATATATTTTAATGTAAAAATATATTTGGTTCAATGCCTTGGATAAGATAAAATATTTTCAAGTCAGTATCATTAGCAGTTAAGTTAGTTAAAACATTAGGATCCATTCAACAGATATTCATGTAACCCTTAATAGCAGAAGTCCCTCCACAGATTACTTGGGCAAATTTAAAGCAGTAGCATAAAACATGACTTTCAGTCTTCAAGACCCCATACTCCACCCACCTGGGAGAAGACATAAGTAAAATATTGCAAGGAATAATGTATGATCATTTGTCAATTCCTATCAACATGTACAGTGCATACAATGAGCTCCATTGGAATTCAGAGAACAGCGAGGCCCTTGTAAACCAGGCCAGTCAGAGGAAACTTTGTTGGAAAACTAGCTCTGGGAGAAATCTCTTGAAGAAGGTGTGTGCTTCTATAGCTAGGGGAAGATTGCTCAGTCTTGGCATTATGCAAGCACAAAATCCAAGTGTGCAAAGTCCATGACTTTTTGCAATCTTTCCCTTCACCAGGACCTGTCTTTCCTTTTTTTGCATTTTTCATGCTTTGGAACTGGACTTGGCTGTTCTCCCTGCCACTCTCCCATTTCACCAGTGACTCCAGATCAAAGCTATCTGCAGACACCCACGATCTTTCCTCATTGTACCTGTTCAAACTATATTGGGGTGTGTGTGTGTGTGTGTGTGTGTGTGTATGCATACATGCATGTGAGTCCAACCACAGCATTCTTTTCATCTTCTGTTCCAATGGAAAATTTTCTGTTCCACACATTGCTGCATTTATATATATTTGAAGGGGAGAGAGAGAGACAGAGAGACAGAGATCTTCAATCCACTGGTTCACTCCCCCGAATGCTTGGAACAGCCATGGTTGGGCTAGTCCAAAGCCAGGAGCCAGGAACTCCATCCTGATCTCCCATAGAGGTGGCAGGGGGTCAAGTACTTGTCTATCTTCCATTGCCTTCCCAGTAGCATAACGAGGAAACTAGCTGAGAAGTGAAGCAGCTGAGACTTGAATTGGTGCTAAGTTATGGGATACCCACATTGAAATCAGCTGCTTAACCAGCTGCAGCACACCTGCCCTTGAGCCATCCTCTTAACTCCTTTGTTCATATTGCTTTGTCCTCTTTATTCCAGACACACTCTTCCATGATCACCCTCAAGATTTTGTCAACATCAACAATTGTAACACTTTTGAAAGAGTAGGCTACAAATGTCACTTTGTCTGCTTATTATCCAATGGAATTCAATATTTAGATATTGATTGAACTCATTAAATCTTTCATGCTGATGCTACTATTTTGCTTTATCACATCATTTCTTTTTATAGTTGATTAGGCTTCCATTGTGCAGGAGTATTGCTCCTTTTTTCAAACATGTAACTTTTTGTCCCACTACCCTCCTTCAAACTCATTTAGGAAAAATCTTCAATTCCAGTTAAACTTACTCATCCCTTATTCTATGACTACTTGTGAACAGCAGTGTATTCCTATCAAAAATGACACCATTGTGCATTAAGGAATGATTTCAGATCTGTTACCAGGTTTTCAAAGAAAAGCTCAATGCAAACATACCAGGGTTGACCTTCCTAATAAATTCCCCCCACCACTTTCAGTGAAGGCAATTTCATAGCTCCCCAGCTTTTCTCAAATCTTTAACCAAGTGACCTTTTCCCATCCTGAACTGTAATGGTTCTGCACACTTCATAAACATAAACATCATAAGATTTTAAAATCTGCCTCAGTCTCCTAAAACCAACACCACAAACCTGTCTACATCAATGCTACTTGGTTTGACCTCTTCCTAAGTCCAGAAGAAGTACACCTGCTCCAATCTAGGTCCATCCACTATAGCTACTCTTTGAGATTTGCATTGCTTCACATGACTTACAACCTTCCACTTTCAAAGTTCTTCCCTTGACTTTATTCTCCTCTTCAGCAACCACCCCATTTCAGTTAGCCTTAGTAGCACCCTTTTCAAAGCCAAAGATCTACTCAACCCATGCAAAAGATATTGTTCTACAGCATTCCATCAAAATGGCTCTTATCCATGAGCTAATGGCATGCAATATAGGGGAGACATGACCTAATTCTGACTTCTCTAAATCTACTGAAGTGAAGTCAATAGAAAGGTGTACACTCTTTCCACCTGCCCTGGAGACATCATGTTATAGTGGTCAATGCTTGGATATGATCTGGGTTAAGCTTCAATATCAACAAAGAAATTGCTGTGAAACTGGAGGGAAGTATTCAGTAGCTAGAATTTACTTGATACATGAGTAATAAGAGTAAATAAGACAACCTTGTTATTCAGTTGTTATGTTTGTTTTAAGTGACTGCAGTGTAATAGGCCCATGCACTGCAACATTGTAACCATATTAAGAAGTATAAGGTCATTTAGAAGGTCAGCATCTAAATTAAAAAGTACAAATTTAGAATAGAAGAATAATACTAAATTTATTTCTTCAGCCATCAATAGTTTATGATGGATATGAAATGATTCTGTTAAGAAACAGAATATAATAGCAATGTTCCTATGTCTCAAATGTACACTACAAGCTTGGAAAAGATTTCAGAATGCTAAGAAGCATTAGGATGTGATTAACTCATGTACTGCCAAGATTTTATGACACAGAAGATGTTTAATGAAGGGAATTACAGAGGCTTATTTTTGCTTAAATGTGCAAGTGCATTATAACAATAAATTCTATTTATAAATTCATGATTTAATTTTTATTAATCACAATGATTCATGAATTCTTGAGATACTTTTTCCTGAAACCCATATTCTAAAACTTCACAAAACAATTTAAGTAGATTCAAATACCTTATGCTATCTCCCATTAATCTTCATTACTTCCTGCATAGCCTTAATTAATCACTTTTGCTTGCCAAGACAATAAGCTCCTAATTAGCCTGTTTCTATCTTACATTTCTTAAACAACTTTAAATACTCCCTTCACAGCTACTGTAATGATACACAAATAGTGATGGGCAGCATTTTGTGAGTCTGTGCTAAGTGCTAGCCCCCGTGAGCAAAAAGAAATATGTAATCCTCAGGAAACTGGAAGGCAGAAGATAATATAATTCATTTTTTAATCTCTAAGGAAGTAGAGACTTGGGGGCAAGTTTACATTGCCAACACTCCAAACACTTAGCTAATTAAAATGATCATGCTGTTTTACTATCCCTAGACTTATACAATCCCAGATATATTCCATTAATTCTAGGAATGTATTCGCATTTGTAGCTTTTTGCATCTTTCATGATGGGCCATGACTAAATTCTTTTGTAAAAGACTTCATTGCATGGATTCTATTTATGCTACCTTTTCTCTTTATATCCTTTTTGACCTCCTTTGGCTGTCATCAACTCCAACTTGCAAAGCAAATTGCCTCAGACAAGAGATCCCCCTGGACAATCTTCTTTGAGTGGGCATGTCTCCAAGGGCATGTTTCCCAAAACACCACCATATATAACTGGCCTCTCTCTTTGTCTTTCCCACCACAAACTTGTTGGAAGACAGAAAGAGATATTCATTGAATGTTTATCTCTGGTGCCAAGCAAATATTAAGTACTCAAATCATGTTGGATTAAGAGGGGATTTGCTGTTGTAGAGGTGGCTGGTAACCTTTAAGAAGGTAAATAGCATTGTACAAGGGATTAATGACTTTATGCAATGAGTAATCAGGTGTAAGATATTCTTTCCCAAGATTTTCTAGCAGAAGGCAAGAATGAGATGGGGCATTAACACAAAATAAATAACTTCAAGTGATAGTTATGTGTCGCTCCCCGTTTTCGTGGAGGAGCAACACAGGACCCTGCGCTGTTCTTTCGTCTGCTCGGCCCTCCCCGGGTTTGCTGCTGGTTCTTCCCGGGTTGGCTACTATCCCTTCCACCTCCGTGGAAGGGCAGTTCCCCCTGGCCGCATTCCCCACTTCCGCAGGGGAGCGGCACACCGCCGGCCGGCTCTCTCGGGGGCTGCACGGGTTCCCTTAGATGTTCCCCATAGATGTTCCTGGTGCATGCCGTCTCTCTCCTCCTTTATAGTCCTCCTCCGCCAATCCCAACTCGGCTGAGTACGCTGCTCTCCAATCAGGAGCAAGTCCTACAGTTAATTGGTTGAACTGGAGGCAGCTGTGCGGAAGCTGTTTACTTCTCTCCCAGCGCCATATTGTGGGAGAGCAGATGCATAGAATAAGTCCTAATTCAAGTAACTTAGTCTAGTCCGGATTGCTCCCCACAGTTATGCAATGTTTTTTTTTTTTTTTCCAGATAGAGTAGAACAATCTCTCTAGAATGTGGGGGTGCTTACATGTGTGTATGCATGCATAAAAAGCTAAGTGGGAAATTTTTATTGGAATCATAGGTGAAATAAGCTATAGGTAACATTTGGTTCAGATGTTAAAGATATACAGGGAACAACTTGAGTTTGGCAATAAATACGTGAGTAATATGAACAAACAGAAGTCATAGTTTCACATTGAATTTCCATGTAGTTGAGGAAGCCACTTTTTCCTCACTTGTCAATTAGAGGTGCCATTCTCATTTTAAATGCAAATGCTTAAGTATTTCTCATAGAAATTCTCCTTAACTGGGGCTAGTGTGTGTTGAAAACCAATTGCCCTTCAGGTGATCTTAACGGGCAGCCGCCATTAAGAGACACTGTGCCACACACAGGGACTGACATCCTTAGTGTTCTTCCTGCTCACGTGCTGGTGATTGGCTGATGCCTGGGACAGTGGATCCCATAGGAAGGAACAGTGCAGGGAGCTCTAACAGGCTAAGGGAAAAGGGGAATCAGGAGCAATAGATGAGGCTGAGGGCAGTAGAAGTGGGAGTTGTTTCTCCTTTGGGTGGGAACTAACTGAAGTGAGGCATCAAAGAGTTGGCATGTCGGTGGAGAGAAGCGTTTCCTTGGCTGAGCTTGGACTAAAACATAAATAAAACAAAAACTCAGCAAAAGCTTATCTTCAACTTATTATTTATGGAATACTTTAACGTATATATATATATATATATAATTTAAATGGTCGTGTTAATTTTTAAAAACATTTATTTATTTTGGAAGTCAGAGTTACAGAGGAAGATGGATAGACAAAGAGAGAGAGAGAGAGAGAGAGGAGAGAAAGAGAGTGATTCCTTCACCGGTTCACTCACCAGATGACCACAACGGCCAGGACTGGGTCAGGCTAAAGCCAGAAGCCAGGAGATTTCACATGCTATCAAACAAATCTAAATAGACATTGCCACTGAAAGTGTGTCAAAATGACAATTCTGAGTTTTCATTAAGAAGTCAATAAATGTGTTGAAAAACAATGTTTCTCCAAGGGTGACAAATCATAAGAATGACTTAAGATGGTTATGGCCTAGTAGGTTTTGGGGCTCCTTCTCATTGAGTTCGTTGAGCAAATGAACTTGGAAATGTATTCTTGACAGGAATTAACATTTTGTGTTATTTCTTTGCTTTCAAAAATTGATTATTTTCATATTATTTGAAAGACAGAGATGGAGCAAGACAGAGAGATGGGGAGGGATCTTCCTTCCTCAAGCTGCCGCCCCACCTCCCTGCCAAATGCCCAGAAAACATAGGGCTGGACCAGGCAGGAGCCAGGGGCCTAGAACTCCATCTAGGTTTCCTACATGGGAAGAAGGCACACAAATACTTGAGCCACCACCTGCTTCCTTCCAGAATGTGCATTGGCAGGAACCCGGATGGGAAGTGAGGTAGTCAGGACTCGAAGCGGGCACTCTGCCATGGCACACAGGTGTCCCTGATGGCAACTTAACAACTCACATCACCAACTGCCTACCTGCTGTCAGGTTTTCTGATGAATGTGCCATATGATTACTATTATGCAGCATGTCACTATCAGATCACACAAAGCTAATCTTAAACTCAATTTAAAAAATGCGTTTTTCTCTGAGGTATTGAAATAATGTATGAATTTACAGAAGCAAAAACATTGAGAAAGGCTTATAATGAGAAGCATTGCTTTCTACCTCAGCCCATGTTATCCCACCACTCCCCTCAGCCTCAGGGCAACCAGATTTGAATCTGAAAATGAATAAACCATAATCCACATTATATTGACACTATATAAATCCCTTCATTGAAAAGCTAAATAAGATGGAAGTGTGGCACTGGCAAAGATCGAGAGAGCAAAACTGTAGCAAATATAGTGCCCCAACCACCAAGGCTGGGCCAGGCTCAAGCCAGGAGCCAGGAGCTTCATCTGGGTCTCCCACATGTATGGCGATGACCCATACACTTGAGCTATCTTCCAGTGCTTTTCCCAGGCCATTAGTAGGATTGGAAGTGGAGCAGTCAGGACTTAAACTGGTGGCCAAATGGTGTGCTGGCATCATGGGCAGTGGCTTTACCTGCTGTGCCACAGATACTAGCTCTGAGGATTAGAGAATTTTAAATCTTTTATAATATCTTTTGGGTGTTCATGTGTGTGTATCTACTGTGTGTATGTTTTTCATCATCTGGAAGATTTTACATCTTTCAATGAGAAAGATCTCCAGGGTCTTTGGAGATGGATTTAGCAGCTGAGACAGGAATTCCTCAAAAAGATAAACTAAGTATTGAGGAGCACAGGGTAACTATCAGGTTTTTAAGCGAGATTCATGGAAATACATTAGCAGAATGGAGGGAGAAGCCAAATTCAATCTGTATTTTTAATGATGTTTTGAAGGGAGCTAAATGTATTAATCCAAATGCCCACTCCCTTTCATTGTTCATCTGTTATAAATAATTTGAGATTTGGTTAATTCTTGGTGAACCTAGTGCCAAGGATTGATTCAAGTTTTACTACAGTCAACCAGATTTTTAAAAAGAATGTTACCAGTGTTGACTCCATGTTAATTATAAAATTATCTACCCAAAACAATAATTTAAAATATTTCCATTTCTATTACTTTTATTAGTCAACTCTACACTTCCACTATTTAGTGGATTTTCAAGATTTTTATAAAATAGTTAACAAAATATTTTCTTTCTTTTTCTTCAGTGACAGTAATGCAATATCTGCTCAGCTGTCAGAGAAGGGGAGTCAAGATGTGGAACAATTAAGAAAAGACAGTGGTTCTGATGGAAGGCATTTGGCTTTAACCAGCATGAAGGTCACCAAACCGTTGTCTCACTTGCTTTATTTGAAAAGGTCTTTTAAAACCACAGCTTTAAGCAGTGAAACAGAAGAAATGTTTTCAGCATAAGTGGATACTTTTGCATAACCCAGCACATATTTTGATAGGTCTGCTGGGTGCGATGAAGAAGCGTCTGCTTTTAGTTACAAAATGTACAGGGATGAGCTAATCACCAACAGAAAAATAAATGGAGCATTCTAATTGTGTTCAGATTGTGATGATATTTTTATTACTAACATTAAATTAAGAGATGTTTAAAATACAAATCATTCATATACAACAATTTATAGAATAAAGATACGAAATAAGACAGAATCGTTATTAGAGCAATCAAACTGGATTTGCTTCTCTTTTTTAAGGGGCAAGAGCCAATATCTAAGAGGCAAACAATTTCATCCCTTTTCAGTGATGGACTTTTCTGATCTATTTTGAGACTATCCCATGTGCTTAATCACAATATCCCAACATACCACAAAAGCTTTAGAATTCTATTGCAAAATTAGTACTATTTTATGGGAGCAGCAACACTAGAAAAGCAATTCAGCAAAGGTGTACTTCTGCAGGTTTTTCCTAAGAGTATGACCTATGGCAGAGAGTGTCCAGTCAGTTTCCCTAAAAATAACAGTTCTCAGGCAGAGGTTTGAAGCAGGAGATTTTCTGAAGGGGGATTGGGGGGATGACAGAAGGAGGACCTGGTAGGAGTAGAACTGAGACACGACTGCAATGGAGGACTGGCTTGGAGTAGAAGAAGAAGAGTGAAGAAGAGAAACACTGATTGTGATTGTCAGCCCCGCTGCAGCCATGGGGTCAGTAGAGGTGTTTCTGCTTGCTGAAACCATGTGCTGAGCCTGCTCCCTCCTTAGGCAGACTCAGCCTTATTCCTCCTCCGATAATGGAAACACCCCAAGCAGCTGAACGAGAGATACCAGAGCAAGACATGGAGGTCAGGGCCACCAAAGAATGCAGCTAACTTGTGCTCTTTGGCGCTGCTCATGCTTGATATACAACCCACTTTTTTTTTTTTAACTTTTATTTAATAAATATAAATTTCCAAAGTACAACTTTTGGATTATAGCAGCTTTTCACCCCATAACCTCCCTCCCACCCACAACCATCCCATCTCCCACTCACTCTCCCATCCCATTCATATCAAGATTCATTTTCAATTTTGTTTTGCTTCCATTGTTGGCTCCACTCAACTTTTGATATGGTTGGTCAGAGAGCTTGGAGTTCAGGAAGGATAGATATGGCTACATGGGCACATAGTAGTCCACTTAGTTTCCAAGACTTTAGGGGCTCCTCATCCCCAAAGGGTGTAGGGCTCGCCTTTGTAGATGGCATTGAGTCCTATGGGTTTATATTGTCACTCTGTTTATGGGTGTTCCATGAACGCCCATGGTGCCTTTCTCACCACAGATTTTTCTAGTGTTACAGAATCCTGCTGGGTCACAGGGTCCAGGAAGTGAGGCTGTTTACTTGGCAGCTTAGCCTGTTGTGGAGCCCTTTCCTGCTCTGAGCCCCGTTCAAATCTGTTAGCTTTGAACATCACCCAGTAAATAGATCAGTGTACTCTTACCACATGTTGTATTTCTATCTTGGTGGGTGGGAAACAAAAAGTGAGACCTTTTTTCTTTGCTTTAGACAGAATGTCACAGCATATCCCAAACCATAGGAACATACACAAAAAATTACTAAGCTGAAAGGAACCTGAATTTATGTAGGGTTCATCTCCCACCCTCTAATTTGCATATGCCTTAACAAGACTTCCCATTTTTTTGCCAATTGTTGCTCGATGGTGCAGTTAATATGATGGGTAAGTACAATGAAACAATGCAATATCGTGTCTAGACAATCAGTCCTTTTGGACTACATTATGACAGAAGGTGAGAGAATTAACCTGAACATGATCAAAACCATAACTACACCTGACTGTATTTTTCTTGAATGTAAACCCATTTCTCACATGGGTAAATACAGTATACTCACTAACTCAATGTCCTTGTACCTTTTTAGCCAAGGAAGTGTTGATTTGCTCTAGAAGAGTGACCAAACCTAGCCCAGCAGCTGAACTAGGGCTACTTCTTGGTTAATTTGAAGTGGTTGCCTCCCACCCACTAGGAGTCATCTAATCCTAGATGAGGAAAGACTTTCAATTTAAATGGGGCTCAAAAGGGGACCCCTACCATCCTCCATGTCTTAAGGGCAGCACTAATGCTTGTCACACATTTAATTTATTTGAGAGGAGGAGAGGGAGAGAAAGAGAGAGAGGAAGTCCTCACTCACTGATTTTCACTGATTGACAACGCAAATGCCCTTAATAGTCAGGGCTGGACCAGGCCAAATCCAGAAGCCAGGAACTCTGTGTTCTCTCACATGGGTGGCAGGGACCCCATTCTTGTGAACCATCACTGTTACCTCCCAGGATGTACATTAGCAGAAAGTGGGTATCAGGAGTGAAGGCGGAACTTGAACCCAGGCATTTCAATATAGGATGTGAGTGCTCCAGGTGGCATCTTACCTGCTGTGCCAAATGCTAGTCCCTGATTCTGTTTGGCTGTACCATTTATTTCCAGGAGGGCACCGTTTCAAAGATGAACATTTTGCTAAAGAAATGATGTGTTCTCTACTGAAACTCGGCTGTGTCCGTTCAATTACCCACGACTGCATCTGAGGACCTTGGAAGTGTTCACCAGATATGGCACTGGCTGGGGACACCAGCAATGACCGGAGCTCCATTAATGTTTTCTGGCTTTCCTGAGGCCACGGTACTGCCTCGGCTCTCAGAATCAGGGTTAGCTTGAGTCCCATGTCCACCAGCTCTCAAAAGGACTGGTGTTTTCCTTTAGTACAGATCATGTGAAGAAGTGGATGGCCTCAGAGTCCCCGGGGAAAAGGCCTATGAGGGGAATTACTGCCATAGACGCGTGCTGCAGTGCGGTAGGGGCTTTTCTTCTTCACAAGGACCAGCTGCTCCCTCAGTTAATGAGTTCTGGGTCTGCAGATTATCTCAGTTCTGAGTACTGGGCGTGGGATCACGACTTTTTATTAGGGTGGCTGCCCTAAAATCTGCAGCTTGTACTTCTCTGAATCCTTTCAGTTGTATGAATTATGAAATCCCCTAACTGCCTGCCCATTAATCTTGCACAGGGAACAATGTGTCCCAGTAACAATCTCTGTATCTCTCTGGGCCAGGCACTTCCAGCTGCTCCTCTGACCACTTTGCTCATTATGGTTGTTCTTGTTTTTGACTCTTAAGCACATGGCTTCTTTCATTTCGGTCTCCTATAATCCCCCCTCTGAAATCAGTGTGCCCAACTTCAGGAACAGCTCCTACGACCCGCCCTGCAGAAAGCAGCCTCCCAGCGAGGGACATAGTGGTGGTGCCACGCTTCACTAGTAAATTCTCTTCTGATTTCATAAATGCAGTGTTTGCCGAGGCCTCCTGTGGAGTGCAGCTGGGAGGTGAGTCTTCTGCCCTTAGATAGTACAGCGACTCTACAGATGCATTCCTGGACAGCTTTGATGGCTTACTAATCATCTGCTGTGAAAATCCAGCACTTGTTACATCATTTTGCATGGCACTTTCATTTTCTAGGTTTCCAGGAACGTGTTAGCACTGTGTCTTGATGTTGGGGCCAGGGCACTAATCACTGCTGTCCTCGTGATAAAGTCCTCCTTACCCATTTTGTGTTCCAGATCTCCAGATCTGTCAACCTCAGCATTGCCTGGATTGAGTCTTGTGCACATTCTCTCAGCTTCTTTCTGGCACATGCTGGTGGGTTACACAGCTTCTCTTGTGCACAGAATTTCTCCTTCCATGATGGATTCAGCTCTTCTTGACCAGAGCCTAATTATCAGTATTTTATTCGGAATTATATGAAAACTAAGTTGTAAGGCATTGATTTCAAGCACCGAGTAATCACAGGGATGAATGGGGCCGCTCGGCTAAACTCTGAGAGCTCACAAGAGTAGTTTCAAGTTTGCCAAGTGCGTAGTTCCAGATGTGATTCCTAACGTCACCTCTTCCCAGTCAAGGTTCTGAGCTTGGTAGAACAGATTTGCCAGGGTTGAGAATTAAATTTTCATTGGAGCTCCTCTAGCCTTTTATTTATATGCTGGGTCTGAGTTTGGCTTTTCCTGACCAGTGGCTGCTGGAGACGAGGACTCAGGTTTCTCTGAGGAATTGAGCCTTCTTCGTAGTGCCTCGTCCATTCCTCCAAAGTGAGTCGTGGGCTCTGGCTGTAATATTCCCTTCCTGCTGTCTTTTTTTCTCCTCTCTGAGGATAGGTGAGAATTACATCAATCGGTGCTTGGGTATGTGTTGGTGTTCATTATCAAGGAAAGTCACTCTCAGATTATATGTTTTCCAGACTAATCTCTTAGAGACTATTACTTCACTCAAAGTAAATGTTCATCAAGAAGAGTCCTCCCTCGTTATTGCCAGACAGCTGAGTATCTCAAGAAAAGTAATGCAGATCTTTCTTTGGGGAAATGCCTATTCAATGCTTAGCCCATTATTAAAATCACCTTATTAGCTATTTTGCCATGAGTTTCAAGAGTACCTTATGTGTTTTCGAGATTACCTCCTTCATAGATATGTGATTTCTGATATTTTTCTCCCATTGTATATGTTGTTGTTTTATTTTTTTGATTGGTTTCTTTGCCATGCATAATTTTTTTTAGCTTGACACAGTCCCACTTGTTTGATTTTGCTTGTGTTCTTCAATATCAAGAATGTTTCCCCTGGGACCAGTGCTGTGGCTCTGTGAGTTAAGCCACTGCTTATGACACTGGCAAGCCATGGCTTCGCGGCTTTAGATCCAACTCCTTGCTAATGCATGTGGGGTAGCAGTGGAAGAAAGCACAAAACCTGGTGTCTGACACCTATGCGGGAGACCCAGATAGAGTTCCTGGCTCCTGGCTCAGCCTGGCCAAGGCCATTTGGAGAGTGAACCAGGAGTCAGAAGATCCTCTCTCTCTCTCTCTCTCTCTCTCTCTCTCCCCCCGCCTCCTTCTTTCTCTCTCCCTCCCTCCCTTATTATTCTGCCTTTAAAATTAATTAATTAATTTTTGAAAAGAAGGTTTCTTGCTGTGTTTTTCTCTAACAATTTCATAGTTTTATATTTCGCATTTAAGGATTTAATGTCTTCTGTGTTGACTTTTGTGTATAGTATAAAATATGGGGTGGGAGCTGTTGTATAGTAGGCAAAGCCTCTGCCTGTGGGCACCGGTTCAAGTCCTGGCTGCTCCACTACTGATCCAGCTCTCTGCTTATGGCCTGGGAAAGCAGTAGAAGATGGCCCAAGTGTTTGGGCCCCTACAGCAGTGTGGAAAACCCAGAAGTTTCTGGTTCAGATTGACCCAGCTCCAGCTGATGTGGCCATTTGGGGAGTGAACTGTAACTCTGCCTCTCAAGTAAATAAATAAAATCTTTACAAAAAATAAATAAATAAAATCTTTAAAAAAACATTCTTCTGCATGTGAGTATCCAATTCCCCCATGCCATTTTTTGAAGAGAATAGTGTTTATATATGATATCCTGTTGTATACGCACCTGTACACATGCATGAGCTTATTTAGGTCTCTCTATTATGTTTCATTGGCCTGTTCATCTGTCTTTATGTCAGTATCATACTCTCTTAGTTTTTATGGGTTTGTAATATTTTGAAATCAGAAAATATGAGGTCTCCAGCCTTATTCTTCCTTAGAACTGTTTTGTTTTTCCAGACCTTTTGTGATTCCATATGATTTTTAGGGTATTTTTCTTTTTTTGTAAAAAATTCCATTGAGAGTTCAACTGGGGTAATATTGAATATGTGGATTGATTTATCTGAAATGGTCATAAAACAGTCTTAAGTTACCCATCCATTAACACAGTATGCTTTTCCATTTATTTAGGTTTTCTTCATTTCACAAGTGTTTTATTTTTAAGAATTTTATTTTAATTGAAAAATCATAGCTTGATACATTTATGGGTCCAA